TATATATATATATATGTATATATATATATGTGTGTGTGTGTGTGTGTGTGTGTGTAAAAACCCACTGAGCTGTGTGTACACTTAATATATGTATACTATGCTGTATAAAAGTTATATGGCAGTAAAAATAAGCATACACAAACATGTTAAAACTAATAAACTTTTGAAATAACCAATAAGAAAATCAGTTCTGCAATATTTATAACTGTTTATTAAGCTGCATGCTCAGCAAAAATATACTTAATGTGAAAACTCAGTTAAAAATAAGAATGTTAATAAAAGATATTATTAATAAACAATCTAAAAACTAATAATCAGCCAGATAAACCCAAACACCAACTATTATAGACAGGAGAATTCCTGAGGCTACCATCAACAGGAGGGGAAAAGGCAAAATAAAATCACACAGGTTCCTACCTGGTTGTTTGGATCTAGGCCAGCATAAGAATTTCTTGAACTGCAACCAACTGGCGGTGTGGCCTCTCGAATGAACTCAGACATTTCAATCCCCCCACCAGGATCACTGTGGGAAAAAAACGAGAGAAAAAAAGTACCTGCTATTATTCTGCCGTCAACAGGTTTCTTTTTATGTTTTTTTTTAATAAAATTAAGATGTTCCCATTTTTAATAGAGCGAATGACCAAAAAAATGATCATTCTTCATTTATAAGTCTAATAACTGGAACTATTTTATAACCACATCACTACTTGAAAGTATTTAAAACACTCTTCCATACTGTGTACACCCAACCCAATGTTGGAAACTGACCTTAATTACAATTCTAGCATACTAAATATAGCATATATTTTATGATCTGCATCATAAAACCACTCTAGCAGAGAAACGATTTGCCTTTTGTTTCCTAACAGCAAAGAGAAATCGGTCATTGTAAACACAGAAAGTAAGCAGTTCTTACACTACCACTCCCCAAGAGCAGTCGGACTGGGCACACGCAAGAGAACAGTCGTCCTACTCAAGCTATTTGTACCTGTATTTTTTTTTTTTAGCCTAGTTGTTGTTCTTTAATCTTCGTTGTGGAGGGCTCCAGTCGCCATCTGGCTGTCCATCAGCAGCTCGTGGCCTCTAAGCTTAAGGTGCTGAGTTCAATCTTATTTGTGGGTGGTCGTAGCCACTATCCCATGTGGGAGTCGAACCAGTAGCCTTGTTGTTAAGAGTGCACCCTCTATCAACTGAGCCATTCAGGCAGCAGCTCAGCTCAAGGTGCCGAGTTCAGTCTCAGTTGCAGGTGGGCATAGCCCACCATCGAACAGGCAACCTTGTTGTTACACCAGCTGAGCCATCCTGCCACCTGTTGGCAGCTCAACGACAGCTCAGCTCAGGTGAAGTTTCACTGGCCCATGTCGGAATCGAACCAGCAGCCCTGTTGCTCACAGCTCGCGCTCTTAAGCCAACTCTTAACTAACTGGGTCACTCAGCTGGCCCTGTACCTGTATTTTTTAAACTAACAACATTTAACTGATATACTGCCTTGTTTACAGAACTGGAAACCTAAGATTTTAGATTTGTGTGTATAAGTCAGAAGGCTTAAGTTAAAAAAATTAAAATTAAGCTCACTACATAGTAACAACAGGCATTACACAAAAGAGAGAAACGTACTAGATTCAAAGAACAGAGGAAGTCCACATACAGCACTTAAAGATACTGGGATCCCCAAAACTGGGGGCGGGGAATCAAACCAAATTTCAAAAAAGCTTCTATAAAGTTTTAAAATACAGTTCCTTAGGAGCACAACTTTTAGAACAACTTAGACCTAAAAATGATCATTATCTTATTTTTTGTCCAAAGTTTTTTACTCGTTCTATCTGGTATATACAAAGTAAGTACTCAATAAACTTTTAAGCTATTATTATCGAGGATAAAAGCGCTAGTATATATGCTAGGCATTATAGTAGATGTGAACTATCTTGTCATCCAGCATCTAATTCAGCCTAACAAAACAAACAAACAAAAAAGCAACCCAAAATTCTGCTGGTGAACTACCCCATCCAAACTCTCATATGGCTTTGGGTGAGGTTGACCCCATCCTCAAGTTTAGGGGAGAGGTCTACTGGCCAAAGTCAATCAGTATTCCCATTCTCTTGGTCACAGAGCTTAAGTTCTAGAATAAGCACATGCCTCAACTCAAGCTACTATGAACCAGGCCAGGAGTGTTCTACTGTTGAGAAGAAATTTCTCTATACTGCTGAGAAGACGTAAGGCCTATAGCTGCTGCAGCCATTTCACAACCACAAGGGGAGAGCCTGTCTAAGAAGCCAATGTAAAGAAAAGAGCACAGCCTGGTGAAGGGAAACAGGGCCACGAAGCAATTGTTTGAAACCACATCTTGTCACATTTGAAGACATATCTTACATATAGATTTTCCAGTAATGTGAGCCACAAATTCCCTCAGCCTGTTTGAGTGGGGTATTCTGACAACTGCACAAAAGATATAGGCAAAAAGGAACTTGCTGACAAGTATGTAAGTATGTATACCTTCCGTTTAAGTATTTATCACTAGAACTGTTTGAATTCTAGCGTGTTTTTATTATTAATGGTCTTATAACTATCGTGTCCCTGTTAATGGGTTCCTAACTCCAGGCCCCTGACTACAGTTAGCTAATGTTCAATAAGGAGAATTAGCTTTCTAATTTGCTATCCATTCATAAAAATTAAACACTGGAATTCAGTTACAAATCTGATGGCTAATTCAGCATACAAATGTCCACATGTGAAAAAACTGGAACATGCTCGATTTTGTTAGTTGTTTGGAGTTAACGCATACAAGATATACAGGCCAGAATGAGAAATGTTTTTCTAATGGCAAAACCTTAAGTGTGTATATGGAGAAAAGCTATCACCACACTGATTTAGTGATGAGTAATAACCAGCAACATTACTACTGCTATCTGCACTGGAATACATTCTCTAAGTCAGATTCCATGGAAATCAGAAGATGGAGAGCAAGACAAAGGTTAAGGAATAAAATATTCAACACCAGAGAAAGGAAAGCAAGCCCTCATCTTGCCTAGTTTGTATACACCTGCTTTATTTAACTTATAATTCACATACCATCCATTTAAACTGTGCAATTCAACAGTGTTTAGAATATTCACAAAGCTGTACAATCATCACAACAGTTAATTTTAGAACATTTTTATCCCCTCAAAAACAAACCCCTTTAGCTATTACTACCCACCCCACCCCCGGCCTTCCCATCCCTCCAATCCTAAGTAGCCACTAATCCACTTACTGTCTCCATAGATTTGCCTATTCTAGATGTTTCTTATAAACTGAATCATATAATATGTGGTGATTTCTGACTGGCTTCTTTCACTTAGCCTAATGTTTTTAAGGTTCACCCGTGTTGTAGCATGTAACCGTACTTTATACCTATTTATGGCCCAATAATATTCCACTGAATAGACAGAACACATTTTGTATATCCATTCATCAGATGGCAGATAATCTTGCCTAGGTTTATATATCATTTCTGATAGCAAGTCCAAATTACTATAGACTGAATGTAAAATTATTAATAAAAAATAAAGGCAAATGTTTACTTAGTACTTATTACATTACAATCATAGGAACATGTACTTTGTTTGCATTTTCTCATGGAATAGTCCCTTAAAATCTATGATATTAATGCTACTATGCTCGTTTTACAGATAAAAAACTAAAAACCAAAAGGTGTAAAACCTTGCCAAAGGTTTCAGAGGAGTAAACAACATAAACTGATACATGTTTATATATAATAACGAGTCACTGGTGTACAGAGTTCAGGTAAGAAGGGAGGATAAAATAATACTCCGTACTCTACAATGTGTTATCACATCTGTTCTTTTTCTCCCATACCCTGGACTGCAGGTACTCAGAACAGTGAGGACTGAGACCAAATTTGAACACCAAGTATGTACAACTCTAAAGCCCACAGTCTAACACACCATTACTGCCTTTCAACAAACAGGCATTGAAGTTCTTGTTCCAGTTCCAAACCAAAAATAAACACCATTATCTGCAGCAGAGTTTCTTAACCTGAGCACTATTGACATTTTGGCCCACGTAATTCTTGATTGTGGGGGACCATTCTGTGCATAGCAGCATCCCTGACTCTACCCACTCATTGGTTTTAGTCTTTGGTGTGAATAATTATTATCAATTATAACTATTATTGTTCCAACATGTTATTTAGTAGTAAGGTCAACAATATTGATTTAATCTCCCCAGCTGTGCCAGGTAGCTTTGCTGTGGTCTGATATGACAATCTGTTCTTGTCACTGTATCTACAGTGGTTAAGACCTATCACTGCCTTAAAACTGCATAAACAGAACAGGCAAGACACAAATCACATCACTGTACACACACATGATCGACATCATTACAAACTGAGTGACATGGGTTTCCGTACCTCGGTCCGTTGCTGTCTTTTCTCCTAGTTGAACAGTTGCCTTGCTCAGCTTTGGCTCGCTGATCTGTGAACTCATTTGCGTTCCTATCTACAACTTCTCCAGCATCAAGTGCTCTGTGGAGTCGATAGTTGATCATTTTCAGAACAATGAAAACAGCAGCTATCACTGGACAATAAACTGCTACTATAATCATGGAAGAAGGGAGGGCCTTTAAGAGAAAGAAAATAAAAGATATGCGTTTTTAAATATTTTATATTTCGTTCAATTAATCTGTAATTAGAATAATAAACATACAGTCACACATAAAGCAACAATTATGTTACAGCACTAAGTTGCAAAAGTATAAGACAGCACTGCCCAATACAGTAGCCACTAGATACATGAAGCTATTGGGCACTTGAAATGCGGTTAGTCTGGCCTGAGTAATGCACTGTAAGTCAAATAACACTGGATTTTGAAGACTCACTATGAAAACAGAATGTAAAACCTCAATTTTTATATGGATTACATGTTGAAATAACGTTTACAGCACTGTTAACTAAAACATTAAAATTAATTTCAACTGTTTATTTTTACTTATTAGTAATGTAGCTACTAGAAAAATTTAAATTACATATGTGGCTCACATTACCTTTCCATTGGACAGCGCGGGCAAAAAGTCCATGCCAAAAAACTCATAATACAATTGGAGAATTAAGGTATCACATTACATAATACATGAATAAGACAGGGTTGTGATCCAAATATACATAATCCCTGTTTATGTGCTCTCTGTGACTTTTTTTAGGATATAACATTCTCTGTGAAAATTACAAGTTAAAACTTTCATGAGAATAACCTTAGAACTGTGACTGTAAAACCAGATTAAGACATGGAAGACATGCAAAATCCAAATATGTTTTATTTTAAAATATACTTAAGCACTTAAAATAGTTAGAAATTATAGACTGCCAAATAAAAAAATAGAAGACTACAGAACAGAATCGAGTAATAAGCAGATTAATTGAAATGCGTCAGCAGCATCCCAGGTGTAGGGATTGCAGACCCATCACACTTGAGGCTTCAGTGATAGGGACTTGAGTCCGGGGATGGCAGGCTGAGCGATCACCCAACTTGGAAGGCATGGCCTGAGTCACTGCGGCCAAAGGCTATAATGCTAGGCTCAACTTATGCCCATGTCCACGAGAAAAAAAATCACTCTGGAAGTCTAGCTCTAGATTCCAAATAATCATAAGATTCAACTTCAGTTATCTGAGAACACAGCTCCAAATTTGCTTGGAAAGGTAACCTCAAATTGCTTGGGATAGTGAAACTGAAAAGGTCTTGGTGAACTAGGCAGGTTTAGAACACAGATATGAAAAGTTTTTTTTAAAAAAGTTATTTGTGAGGGAGAGAAAAGGAAAGCATGTGGTTTGGAATTGGCAGAGGGGAAAAAAAGTAACTTAAGCCCACAGTTTAATACTTTTGGGTTGGATATGAGAATAGGTATATATTTGGTATTTTTAAATGCTTGGATTAAGAAGCCCTTCATATTAGTGTATGTAAAAAATAAAACTGTGATTCCAATTTAGAATGTCACTGAATAACTGATTCAGGCTTATGATTTTAAGCTGAAAATGTATTTAAAATTTTACAAAATCCATAAATATCAGGTTTAGAAGAGTTAAGTACTTAGAAACATCTGTCAGATAATTTAAGAACTTAAAAATGAATACTAAATTTATAAATGCAATTTAAATCAAAAGGATCTTAAGCCATATTTTAAAAAACAAAACATCTTAAAAATGATGGTTAAAATTTATTCAATTTGTAGAGTTGAATTTAAGATTCTAAGTTGTTTAATTTACAGCTTTAATAAATCTAACATTCATTTAGAAAAAAAAGTTTCCTGAATAACCTTTTCCGAGCAGAATACACACACACCCACACCCATACACACAAACTCTCTCTCTCTCTCTCTCTCTCTCTCTCTCTCTCTCTCTCTCTCTTTCTCGCTCTCTCTCGCTCTCTCTCGCTCTCTCAAACTAACAAAAATTTCAAAGTAAACACAAACATTAATACATACACTGCTTAGAGTATTTACAAAAGTTCTTTGTGATGGTGGTTTCCATGTGGTATGTTCACATAAGAACTAGGATTCTTTGAGATCATTTAGTTCAACGCCTTTATTTCCAGACAGGAAATTGAGACCTACTAACTTTGAGTGTCTTAGCCAAGATCACCCATCTTAATAACATCTTAATGACAAAATTAAGCAAGGTCTCTTAAGCCCATGGTTTACTATATACCAAGATATCAATTCCATTTTCAAATATAAAGTGTTAATAAAAAATGAGTCAGAATTCCATCACTATTCACCATAGGCCATATTAAGATTTAAATGACTGATTACATTAATTAAGTGGATAGAAAGAGAACAACCTCACCATTATTATTCACAGTGGCAGCAAATACAATGGAAATGTTAATGGCTCCTCAACTTGGGGGAAAAAATCAAAGAGACTACTTAATATTGAATGGTCTGTCATATTTGCCCTTATAAAAGAGTCACAGATCGTCAATGCTTACAACAGATCTAAATAAACTCTCTCTCCCTACTATTATATTCCTAACAGTAGAAGATAATTATGTGGCAAGAAATACACTGACATGTGTAGGAGATATAATAGTAAGTACAGGTTTTCTTTTTTTAAAACATTAAACATTGAAAAGACTGAAAACAAAAAACTGTTAAGTGACCATTTCATACTAGAAACCAGAATCAAATGATTAACACTTGTATTTCCTACTCGAACTACAAAAGGTTCCCATTTATTTCACACTACGTGGTTTAAATGCTTAGGTCCTTGTCAGTTGCTGGTTACCCTTGAGGTTTCTAGGTGACAGAAGACAGCTGTGTTATAAGTTTCACTTTTCCCTTAGGGGGTAAAGTGCACACACTGGGCTGTTGTGTGACTTTAAATTTGTTTACTACTCTACTTGCATTACTTCATTGGGCTCTCAGCTGATACCAGCACAGCTGACACTATTAGTATTGGATCATAAATGGATCATAAACCCTCCCTGTGACTGTGCTTCACTAATATTACAAGAAGTTTTTAAATGATGGCTGCCTTTACATGGTTTCAGTGGTCCGCAAAAATCAAACATCAAAAAACTAGAAACTAGCTAGTCACCTCTTTTTCAGTTCTATGCATTGTATGCCAAAGGGCAAACCAGTACTATTTACTATTGGCATTTATATTTTATTCAATTAGATACATCAATGCTGTGTTTCCAAAAAATATATATTTTCAGAGACATTCAGAATTCCATTTAGCAGCATCTCATGGGAAAGCAGGTTCTTTTTCTAAAGAAAAAAACTTTTACAAGATAAAACTGTTCATGTTTCTGTTAAAAATAGTTTTTGTATCCCATTCAACAACCCAATTCAAATTAATATATCTATTTTGAATTTTTTTTGGCAGGTGTTTATTGATTTAAGATTATGTTCCATAACAAACAAAAGTACTAGTATTTCCAAAAGGACATGTTTCATCTTCTTAGGTTATAATATTTTATTGTAGATGTCATCTTCAAGTTAGTGTTGATGCAACCAAGCACATTAGCTGCCCTCTGATAATAAAAGCCGATCTATTTTATCCTCACATAAATGTCTGTCTATTGTTATAAATTGCTTATATAGAAAGGCTGGTTTTACTTTTTTCCTAGGATACCAAAAGTGGACAGCAGAGAACGAAGGTGCTGTGTAGCAGGTGGTGGTGATATTGACAGACACACAAAGCCCTCATTAAATAACTAAAAAGGTCACAGCACTACAAACTCAAGATAAGGCCTACAGTCATCACAGGCTTTACGTACTCTTCTTATACATCTTAAACACCTATCTTATACATCTTATATATTAATATCTTCTATATTAAAAGATTAGAACATTAAAACAGACAAGCTGAGTATTTTTCAGTTCTATTGTGCTATGATTAGTTAATGCCTTGATTTCTGAGATTTGCTTATCATATAGTCATACTCAGGTATTCAGACCAGTTCAGTTGAGAAATCAGTGATCTGTAACTTAAATATTAACAGAATGGCAGACATCACCCACAATTGGGGCCAAGACTGTGAAAAAAATTTTTTTAAACAAATCTCTTAAAACAGCCATCATTAATGCAAGGCACCATGTATCCTGGAGTTTTTTTCCCACTATTGCCAACTACAGTAGTCCCCCTTACCTGTAGTCTCGCTTTCCGCGGTTTTAGTTACCCAAGGTCAACCACAGTCCAAAAATATTAAATGGAAAATTCCAGAAATAAACAACTCATAAGTTTTAAATTGTGCACCGTTCCGTGTAGCGTGATGAAATCTCATGCTATCCTGCTCCGTGCTGCCTGGGACGTGAATCATCCCTTTGTCCAGCGTATCCATGCTGTGTACGCTACCACCTGTTAGTCACGTAGTAGCTGTCTCGTTTGTCAAGAACAAGTGTTCTGGTATCACAGTGCTTGTGTTCAGGTAACCCTTATTTTACTTACTAATGGCCCCAAAGCTCAAGAGTAGTGATGCTGGCAATTCAGATATGCCGAAGAGAAGCCAGAAAGTGCTTCCTTTAAGGGAAAAGGTAAATCTGTATAGAAAAAAAATTTTACACACACACACACACACACACACACACACACACACACACACACACAGAGTTTGGCACTATCTGCAGTTTCAAGCTCCCACTGGGGATCTTGGAACATATCCCCTGTAAATTAGGGGGGACTACTGTACCTCATTATTTAAGGCAATATTTACCAAACTTTTGGCATCATAGCCTTACTGGGCATTCAAGCCAACATGTGAACTGTACATTTTAAGTAAAGATTCATCACAGTTTAATTTCTTAAACTGACAGATGGATTAAAGACCTTAATGTAAAGAGCAAAGCTTTACAACTTTTATAAGAAATATAAAAAGTATCTTTATGATCTTAGAATATGGAAGATTTCTTAAGCATGATTGTCAAAGCACACACTATAAAGGACTAATAAATGAATTAAAATTGAAAACTTCTGTTTATTGAGAGACACTATAAATTGAAAAGACAAGCTACAAACTAGAAGGCGCATTAAAAAGTGTATCACTCACTGTATGTATGTATATGTAAGTGCCGAATTCGGTGGGATCACCAAGAGCAAAGGTGCATCATTAGAGACCAAAGCTAAG